GTTTAGTTTTCTGCTTAGTGTAAGTTCATTTTCCGAAACGTTTCGGGAAGCCAAAAGAGTTTCTGGTCACAACACTGGTATATATGGGAAATTGTATGAATAAGTAAATTAATTATTCGTATAAATAAATAAATAAATAAAATAAATATGTATTTTTTATTTTTTCTATTGAACAACAGCAAATAATAAATAAATAAACAATAATTCCATATCAAGATTGTGAGTTTGCATAGTTTATTTATTATTATCATACTACCACTGTTTTCTTCTTCGCTACTTTATATTCTATCATCACCAATGCCCTTACTTTCTTCATTGTCACTTTTATCACTTTCGCCTCCATGATTGTAATAGCTATATTATCATTTGTTGGTATTTTTTGGACATTTTAATAATTAAAATAGATATTTACCAATTTAAAAACACATTCAGATGTCCTTCATTCAACTCATAGTCACAATATTTACATATGGTTCTCTTTTGTTTAAAACCATCAATTCTATCCAATTTAACTATCAATAATATAATTCGGTAAAATTCACCATCTTTTTTTAAAATGTGTTTAATTTTTAATTGGATAAAATTATGTATGTACATATAGGACATCCATCTCCTTAAGTGATTTTTTTGATATGTGACATCTAAACAAAATTTTAATAGCCCCTAATATGATATAATTGTATTTTATTGCCGTAGCAATGTTCCACAAATTCAATTTTTTATAATTAATTCGTTACATGGAAAATGAAAGAGCAGAATTACATATGAAGCCAAATGGTTCGCTATAATAATAAAGAGCTTTGATTGTAACTAAAATATAAACACCAATGTTGTAACTTTAAATTCTTTCGAATTCCCTAATCAGTTTTAGGGAGAGAACCTACATTAAGCCTAAACCTAACCACTCTAAACTAGTTTCGGTCTCGGGCCACAGCGTTTATAAAAACATATATATGGAAAGAGTAGTAATAAGCGATGTACTATTTATAAATTCATTTAGGGAGCCCTCAAATGACCGGGTCTCTGTGTAGTGATAAAGTTTATATAAAAATATCTCTTAATAAATTATTTCACTTGTGTAAGAGAGAGGACTTAATGGCCTCATTTGGATGGGATCCTTTGAAATGATTTTATTGATTGTATTATTTATAAACTTTCATTCAACATTTGTAGTACGTTTGCATGGTTACCCCCTATTTCTAATTGACCATTTAATTGTTTATATGTTTGTATTTATACATTTTTTTATAAATTCCCACTTTTTATTTTAAATAATAATTCAAACGACATTGCTTTAATATAGTAATAGGAATAGTACTAGTTGGTGGTATTAATGCGGAGAAATGCGTTGTGTTTCCTAGATTAGCTAATAAAACCCATCCATTTTAGTTATTGTTAAGAAATTTTCCGTGTAGATAAAAAGGTAAACAATAACATTCCCAAGCATGAAAAATAATAAAAATTGGTTAATAAATGGCACAGTCGAATTTTACACATGCATTAATATTGCGAAAGATTAAAAAAACTTTATTTTTAATATTAATAAATTTAATTAAATAAAAAAAAAAATAATTTTATGACACTACGACTATTGATTGCAGGTTGACTTTCACTACCACAATAAATGAAATAATTGTAAATTGCTAATAGTGGATGGTTATGGCCGTTCAAACACATTGGTTTGATCATTAATATCAAATTCCATTCATCAAATTAATGAAATACTTTAATTCCAGGCTATACGCAACTTGTTTTTATGTAATATCGTAAAATTTCACGTGATTTATTGCGTTTTTAGAAATTTATTGGTCGATAAAATTATAATTAAGGACAGAGGAGCTACATCAATATGAAAAATTGTCTTATATGGAATATATCACTGAGAGTTATAGTTTTAGCTATATCTAAGAAAATTAAAAGTTAGCATTAAAAAATAATGACTTATATTGTTAACAAAGTTCAAACACTTAGCGAATATCTAATTAGATTAATGCCAAAGTTAATCTTGCGGATGATTGTTAAAAGTGCAAAACTTATTTTAAACCACATGAGTTCCATAAACACATAGATATCTTTGCTAAATACTTATTTAACTTACTTAAAGTCACAAACGTCCAATATTATCTTATCTCTTGGTTGATCCCTATATTGACATTTTCTTTTAGAAAGAAGTGGTATTTTGTTAATCATTAATAAAAATAATAGTTAATATATAAAACAAAGATTTTACGCAATTAACATATTTCATAAAAAATATTGACCAAAAGGTTTCACATGCAAAATTCAATGGTTAGTTTGTCTCTAATTGGCCAATCAAAGTGTGTGTCAAATTGAGAGAAATTAAATCCTTTTTAATTGGCTAATTTCATTTCCACATATGGGGTTGGTATAGTGCACACCACAATAACCCATCAAATAAAAATTGACCAACTTTAAAACCTAAAAAGAAAATATTGTATGCTTATCAGAAAATTATTGAGACGATATTTGATAGATTTTGACTAGTTCTAGAATCTATTGTCAAGATAATTATTGGTTCAGAAGTTATAAGCTTTTGAAAATCGTGTAATTTTTATATGCTATATACATATAAAATTTTCCAAATTCGAAATTATTTTTTCTGGTAAAATCACGTGATTCATAAAAGAAATTTCACGCGTTTTTTCTTTAGTCAATAAATCTTGATAATAATAATTGCATTGAATTTATGAATATAAAGTAATCACCATTCAATTTTTTTTGTTTAAAGTTTCTCTTGAAGGACCTTTGACTTGTTGTGCTGGAGATATCTTAGCAACCCATGATGATTTTAAAAACAAAAACCTTTACTTCAAGAATTAATTAAAGAGGACATAAAGTAATCTTCTATCCAAAATTTCATTGTGAGCTTACTACATTGAAATGTATTAGGGAGCTGCTAAATGATATGTTAGACAAGATTGTAATTACACATGGAAAGGTCTTCAAGAGAATGCCACCAATGCCTTGATTCTATATCAGTGAAACAAATTAGAAAGTATGCAATGAGAGTCTCAAGATTTATGGTTAGAGAAAAGGATTAACAGTACTATAGGCTGAATACATTGTAAAAAAATTAATCACATAGAAGGATTCTAGACAATGTGATAGATGAAATAGATGAGTTAAACTAATAATATTTTTATTTTTGTTCGATATCTTTAATTGTGCCACGTTACCTCAAATTTTCTGTCAATTTTGTAATGAAATAATAAAAAAAAGTTATAAAATAAAAAATAAAAAATAAAAATAAAATAAAAAATAAATTTTTTAAAAAAATACATATATAAAAATATAAATAAATACAACAATTTAAAGTAGTTGCTCACCTACTAATAAGCATATATGTGCAATTTTATTTATTAATAATGAAATTAAAATTAAAAGGCGGGGGACAAAGATTTCATAACATGAAGAAATTATTTATCTATTACTATGTATGAAATAATATAAGATTTCTATTATAATTTTTACACAATATAATAATTACAATGACAATAATAACAACATTATTTATTTATGCGGAAAACTTAATTTTTAAATTTCCAATTTATATTATTATTATATAATTATAATAAAAACAAAAGTAATACCAAATATATATACAAATATTCGGTAATTTCATATTAAAAATTGATTTTTGAATTGAGTGTTATAGAAAATTATGTACACAAAACACAAAGAACATCAAAAAAAATCTTTTTAAATTTTGATATAAATTTTACACTGTAATATGCGTCATAACTGTCATAACTAGAATAAAAAATTTAAATCTTTTTAAATAATATATTTGATATCCTCATTAATCTTTTTTTAGAATAGTACAAGTAAACAATCTTTTATTTGCAACTAGCCTATTATGGATTAATATTTTCTCTTTTCGAGAGGCAGAGCATATTACGGATTTCAGAAAATAATATCAATTTTTAATAACGAACCAATTATTTATTAATTAATTAACTACATAATAAATCATCATCTTAAACAAATAAAAATAAAATGAATAAGTTTACGTAAATAAAAATAACAATAACTGATAAAAATAAAAATAAAACGATTCTTTTCGAGAGACCCATTAAAATCATTTTTACATATTTTTGATGGTATTATTATTTTATATTAATGTGGTGACCGTTTGTTGACTATACTATGTCGATCGGATATTGTTTAGTTTATACTAAAATAATATACATACATACATACACATACCTATAATAGTATTAAATAAATGAATTATCCCGTTTCTCACATGATCGAATCAATACACTGCTTTAACAATCTTTAATGCTCTAAATTAAATAATGCTTAAACAACTTGTTGTTAAAGCTTTTTGTTAATAAATAATAGGATGAAATAAATATTTTTATATTAATTCAAATCTTTTGTTATATGTTTTATTAAAAGTAGTGACATCATTCAGAACTGAGGCATAATATTCAATTAGAAATTCTTTTTATAAGTTTTCAAGGAAATTAAATAAGTCTCAAAAATGAATGCAGAAAATATCACATCTCTTGTTAAAAAGTACATGTGGGTGTGTTAGTGACAAAATAAAAAATTTCCTTCGATTTATATTAAACTTTAAACTTTTTACTAAACAAACAACAATTCAAAAACAACACACATCCCCAGCATTTCTATTTAGAATAGCAAGTCAGATAAATGTGAAATATAATGATGATGTTTTCTACATATATTTGTTTATCTTATTTTAAAAAAACATTACACAGATAAATATTAAATATTATTATTATACGAGTAATAAAGTCAAAAAAAAAAACTTTAAGGTATTAGAGTAAAAAATTAAATATATAAATATATAAAAAAATCGGTCCGATTAAGAAAATATTTTCATTTCTACATATTTTTTTAAAAAATAATATTTACTTTGATTTAAAAAACGAAATAATTTTTTTCTTTTTTATATTTAATTGAAGAAAAATTTTCTATACATTTTAAAAGAATAATATTTACCTTTCCTTGAAAAAAAGTTATTTTTACTGATTTAAAAAAACAAAATATTTTTTTCTTTTTTTTTTTCGGATTTTATATTTAATTGACTTTCCATGGTTTTTTTTTAAAAAAATAAATACTTGATTTATGATTTAATTAAAAAAATATTTTTCTTTTTTTCGGATTCATATTTAATTGAAAAATATTTCTTACATACTTTTTAAGAAAAAAATTTTTTAACGTTTTTAAAAAAAATAATATCTCTTAAAAATTATTCGACATTTTTATATTTTTTAAAAAAATATCTAACATTACATTTTAAAAAAAATAATACCTTTTTAAAAATTTATAACATTTCTAGCATCTTTAAAGAAATATCTCAACATCTTAATTAAAAAAATATCTCCAACATTCCAACATTTTTTCTATTTTTTAAAAAATAGGTATTAATTAAAAAAATACCTTCATCATTCCTATATTTTTTAAAGAATATCTTCAACTTCTTTATATTTAAAAAAACATTCCTAAACATTTCTATATATCTTCGAAAAAACATATCCAACATTTCTATATTTTTTTTGTGGCGTTAAAAAAGTAAATACACGTGTCATAATTTATATTTTTTTCGAAAAATATATCCGACATTTCTATAAATTTTTTTGAGAAATATCTTTATATTTAATTAGAATAATTTTTTTATCTCCAACGTTTCTATATTTAATTAAAAATATCTCTAACTTTCTCTATTTTTTTTAAAAAAAATTATCTCAAACATAAGTAATATGAGCAATATGAGCAATCTGAGCGATATGAGCGATATGGTGAGGGTTATTAATGCTGACATCGTTGATAATTTTGACACGTCTTCTCAAGCTGCCAATTTTCCAAATATAATTTCGAACAACAATAACAACAACAGCAGCAGCAACAGCAACGACAGCAACACCTTTGGACCACTACAACCACTACGGCAAACTCAATATCCGTCACCACCGTCGTATTCTCAAGTTACACAACAAGTAGAAGTTACGATTTCGAATTCTCAAGTAAGCCACGAATCATACTCAAGAAATCATAATCATCGAAATAGAATTATTATTCCTCAACAAAATAATCAAGTACAATTCAATGCTGCCCGATTTATTACGCATCCAACTCAAGAAATACCTGAAAATTACATTAATACTGAATGGTATATTAATGGTGTTGCTATGGAATCGTCTGTTGATACCAACATTTCAAGTCAGTATCAAGTGGACCAACAAATTGTTGATTATAATTTTCCTAATTATTATGACCAATTCTCTGATCAACATTTCAATTTCAACTTTTAACATCAGGTAAACTCAATAACATCAGGAAAATAAATCTTACATAAACCTACGTAGGGTTCAGAATTGGCCAGCATTATGTCGATATTTTTGGTAATTCTGTTAACATTTCCGCATAATGCTGGTCAGTTTTAAACTCTACGTAGGTTTACATGAGATTTATTTTCCTGACGAAGTCTATTTTTATTTATATTTTAAATTACTTTAAACAATTGATTGACTTATAGAGTTTACTTGTTATAAGATTTAAGATTTATATTAATAAATTTATTTAATTTAACCAAATCTTTTTTTAAAATAAAAAAAAGTTTATACTATATACTACTACTACGATTATTATAAATTTTTGATCTTCATACTTTAAAGAAAAACAATTCACGCCAATATTTCGATTTAATAATTTAAATCTGGTTATTTGATTTCATTCACCGTCATCTGTACTAGAAAAATATTGAAACGCAATTTCTTATATAAAAACTATACTATGTAGATTCATATTTTTAGTATTAATAGATTGAAAAAGATCATGATCAACTATTAATTTTCTAGATATGACTATTCATATAAAGCCAAACTATTGCCGAAATCACTTTTTTTCCTTAATAATTTTTTTCATTGGTGTAGAGAAGAGATTTTTTACAATAAACAATAAACACTTAATGGAATCACCATTCGACGTAATTTATTGATTATACGTTAGCATGATTATTTTTTTATTAACTGTTATCAGCTATTCATTATTTTTATTTATGATTTACGAATATGAAGAAATACAATTATACAATTATAGAATTATGCCATATGTTGCACATCACTTAGATTAACTAAGCCCGGTGCCGGTTGCGGTCTGACCCAACGGGAAAATAAAAATCAATAAAAAAGTTTTTTTTCATAACTACTTTTTTGGGGTATTTTTTTTTTTTTTGGGAAAACCCCAAAAAGTAATTGTTGCATAAAAATTTGGCTAGAAGACGACGCCGCACAATACATATAAATATACATGCATTATTATGCATTAATGCGAAACAGCTGAACAATTGATGGATAAAAGGTGAACTTAAATGCAATCCATTATAAGAATTATTTGCAGTATTAGTAATCACAACATGTTTTATTTGAAAAGCAAACCAAGAGCTTTGATTGGTTGGTTGATGTTTTAAATTATCGTGTGAAAATATTAACATATTGTGTAATCGGTCTATAGTATGCTAATAACAAATAAATGGAGCAGATTTTAAATGAAATTTTTATCAATATTATTGTAAAAGTCGCAACTTCTACAAGCAAATTGACATCACATTATCTATCATCAATTAAAAATATAGGGTAAATATATTTAAAATTACAATCGGCTCATTTATGATCATTAATTAAACTTTTAAATGGTGATTTTACAATTGTCATTATAAATATTTTCGTATTAAAACATACTTTGATTTTTGTTGACCTTTGAAAATTTCCTTGTTAAATAATTGGTTTCTTAAATTAAACTTATTGATTTATTAATGGGTATGGTGGTCTTGACCGGTCTGAGATACCACAATATTAAATTGTCTATGTTAGTAATTTTGAAATATTTATTGTCACTAACCGTTCACCTCTTTTATTACATTAATAAAAATCGAATTAATTATTTATAACATTTTGTTGGAAAATAAAATGCACCGGTAAAGAAAGTCCAATTATTTGTTACATTCTACCTGCAATAACCACCATATTGGCAATAATAATTGATTGACGATCCGTCTAGAATATTTACCTTCAAAATTTTATTGCCTGCAAATGTATTTCTATGGAGAAAGTCAGATGATGTATATGAAATATATGTCGTGTGACTAGTTTCGATATAGATAAAAAATTCAATTATTTAAATCACGCGACATAATCAAATTTTTGAAAAATACCATTCATTACATTTACTGTAAAAATAACAGGTTAATACGACGCCAAGTGAATATCATTTATGGTAAAACGGGCGGGAATTGTGCATTGTATATAAATGATTTATGTTTTGCATATCAATCAATTTAAATTAATAAAATGTCACAACAAGATTACGTCGTTAAAAAAAAAAATAAATAAAAATAATAATAACCGGTTAATACCAGAAAAAATGCAGATCATGTAAAGTTTCGTGACGTTTCCGTTGTTTTACACAAAAATACTCGAAAACTAACGAGAAAACATGACTTTTTGTTCCAAGTAACAATACTCCAAATGTTCAAAATAGCATATTTCTATCAATATTCATCGCCTAATAAAATATAGTTTTTGAGTAATATGTAACTTCTTAAAATCGTTTAAAAATGCTAGTTCTTGAGACATTCTTTTGTCCGATAAAATAATCCCACATAATACTAAAATGTCTGAAAACTTCACAAAAGAATTTAAATTATAGCGAACAAAATAAAAAAAAATATGATTAAAATTCGTTAGAAATTGATAAAGTTGCATGTATTGAGAAAATTTACAAATAATTTTTCGAAAATTTATTAAAATTATTAAATTATCTAATACATATGTATGTAAAATTTAATGACAAAACTTTGAGACTTGTTTTAAAAACAATAAATTATTTGTTTTGAATGTATTGAAATGATAGAAATAAGAGAACTTGCAGATTTTGAACGTGGTGCTATTTATGGATTATGGTAAGACGAAAAAATTAATAAAATTGCATTTTGAATTTTGAATCGAAAAATTATTTGTAAATTTTCTCAATACATGCAACTTTATCAATTTCTAACGAATTTTAATCATCTTTTTTTTATTTTGTTTGCTATAATTTAAATCCTTTTGTGAAGCTTTCAGACATTTTATTATTATGTGGGATACTTTATCGGACAAGAGAATGTCTCAAGAACTAGCATTTTTAAACGATTTTAAGAAGTTACATATTACTCAAAAACTATATTTTATTAGGCGATGAATATTGATAGAAATATGCTATTTTGAACATTTGGAGTATTGTTACTTGGAACAAAAAGTCATGTTTTCTCATTAGTTTTCGAGTAATTTTGTGTAGAACGGAAATGTCACGAAAATTTACATGATCTGCATTTTGTCTGGTCATTTCTGGCAGGGGGTGTATATGACTTTCCTTCGGAAATTAAAGACGTAGACCATTAACAAATTTGGATGTTATGACTGAATAAACGAAATTTAGAGCAACTTCATTATTAATAAAAAGTCAGAACTCAAGCATGGTCTATTTTTTGATCTAAAAATAAAAATTAAAGTAGAATTATTTTGGAAAGTTTGAAATGGTGTTGGTTAGTGTGTGCATCGCCACTTTTCTAAATGGCACTTTTTCGATTTTACAATATAAATTGTCGAAATAATAATATTTTTTACTAAATTCTGAATTTTGTCAAGATTTTTATGGAAAAATTTCTCATGAATAAGGTTGGTTGTATTGGTCTGGCCTGCTATATACCAAAGACTGGTCTTTAAATATGGTCCTGGACTGGTTAAAGACTCCAGTTAAAAGAAGGGTCAAAGACCGGTTAAGCGTTGGTTCAATGACGGTTTGGATATATTATAAATTGTATTTACGAAAAACTACAAATTTATTTATTTTATAATGTCCAAGCTTTTCACTTAATGACCAAGAATTATTATGATTTATCAAGAAATGTGATAATATTTATTTTGCAGCCAAGTTTTGTGGAGTGTAAAATTAGGATAGCAGAGCACGTACTAAGTTTGTTTAGAACAGAGAATATTTTATCATCAATTTTTATTAAGATTATACAATGGATATAGGGTGATTTTATTTTCTATTACTACTAATTTTTGTGTTAATTACATTTTGATTGGTAGATTCTTTGTAGATCAATTTAACTCGTGTTGGTGTCAACATGTCAACATATGATCCTTCCAAAATAATCATAGTCCAAAAAAGTAAAATTAAAAATTCGATAATATTAATCCAATGGCACATAATAACAAGCACAAGAAACCTTAAATGTATACAGTATAATCTCAACATTTTAATTGGATTTTAACTAGTCAATTAACAAGGTGTTCAAGATAATTATTCTTTGAAAACATTTTAATTTAAATTTGCTAATTCTGGAAATAAATGTCAGTCAATATAAGACCAATAAATATTTTAGAAAAATATTTCCGCCATAATAAGACGGAATTCTATTCCTTCAAATATCACGTGCAAAAATGGTGATATAAGAGACCCCACATCACACTAAATAGGAAAACTATGAAAAGAATTCATTTTTAGTGAATTTTGATGCAGTGTAATGTGTCAATTATCATTGAGAAACACGAATTAAACATCATTTATTTTATAATTAAATTTTAAGTTTAATATAAAAATCTGTTGCAATTGAAAGTCAAATTCAATTGGTTACAATCGACTCGAAGAATAAACCAATTAACATAACTACTGATATAGAAAACAAAAAAAGGGGCTATATCTAAATCCGCTGTGGAAAAGCTTAACTGTATATGAATATAAAAAATACATAATTATACAAATATATGCTGCGCCTAGATTGACTAAATGATGACAATTAAATTTCAAAGTATTAAATCACATTTTTTTAAAAAAACATGATTAAAGTTATTGTTTTTTTATCAAAAAAAATGCTTTATTTAATAAAGCAGTGAGTGAGCTTCAAATTGTATTTTTTATTGTGTGACATTTGTAAAATTATCATTTCATTACAAATCTAGAAACTGTCTGCAGAAAACAATTAGCGTGTAATAGTAATGGTAATAGTAATGGTAATAGTAACGCGTGTAACGTGCTGAAATCGCATTTTATGTTGATACCATAAAAATTTTTCTTCGATGAAAGGTTATAATTACTTTTTTAGGAATAATTTTGGTTACCACGCATAATCCCGGTTTCCATACATCATTATGCATTTAAAACTTTTTATAATAAAAAACATGCAATAATTTTTTTTTAATTATCAAAAATGAACAATTAATCGATTGAATTGTTATCGTGTAAAAACAAATGTCGCGTCCATAGTGTACTAATAAAGATTAAATAGAACAAATTTAGGACGAAATAGGAGAATTATTGAAAAGGCCTTTCCTTATTTTATTAATCTGAACATAATCGTTGTCTGGTCATTTATTCTAAATACACCAACCCACCTAATCCACTAATAATCTTTATTAATATATTCTTCTCAAGGTATTAGTTACCCCTGTATTTATTCTTAAGAGTATGCATATAGATAGGTAGGTAAGATGGTTATATGCTAACTATGTGATAATATTTAATATAAAGATTTTCGTGTTTAAAACATTATAAATAGTTCTTTATTTTGTTGACATTCAAAAAATTCCTTGAAATCTTTTAAATTAAAAAAAAAACAACAACTAAATTGTTGATTTATTACATTAAAAAAAGTCAATTAAATTGTTGATTTATTTTTTTTTTTTTTAAAAAAAATGGTTCTTTCAAGCAAAAAAAATCTTAATAGTGACAATGTTGTTGTTCAATCCTCATCATCTTCAGTCTCACCCTCACCTTCATCACCACCATCAACATTTGTTTCTTCTTCTTTTTTGCATTTTCACTCATCCAATTCATCATATTCAATTAATACTGCAGTTTACAATAATAACATGGTAATGGATCAACAGCCAGATTCTGGGCCATCCAAAATTTATAATAATGATGGTATTGATGTTAAATTTATTTATCAAGGTGAAACAAATTTAATTGCTTCCAACACTGCAAATCCATCTCAAGCGAACCATTTTGAAGGAAATCAAATTAATGATGATACTCTTCTCCATTATTATTATGACAACCAACCTGCTGATCAACATTTCAATTTCAACTTTTAAGCATTTAATATTTATATATTTAGAAAATTAGTTAGAGAAACTTGAGTATTAATGATATTGTAATACTATTATTTTAAAACTAGTAATATTTTTTTAATAATTAATAAATAAAATTTAATAGTCTTCTTTTTTAAAAAATAAAAAAAGAATTAGAAAGCCTGGTTGCCAGATGACTTTATAAAATTGTGATCCTGAGCTACTGGTCTGAGACACTATCGCAAATATGGAATTTAAACTATTTGCCCATGTTAGTATATATTTTATAGTCACTAACCATTTAAACCCCGATCATTTCCAACCCCGCCAGGCACAGTGTTTTTTCCACTTTCATTACATTGTAAATAAAAGTTGAATTGATGATTTATGGAAATCAGTTATTTATTATGAACGATTAATCCTATCTGAAATAATCATTATATAATTTAATTGATGGCCAGTCTGCGAATAAGCCTCACTAAATGAAGCCTTTTCTTTCAGTGTGAGAGAGTAAAAAAGAATATCACTATAAAAATTTTTTGCAAACATCGTAGAAAATAATATCCAAAGCCCGCTTCTAAAATTCTCTATTACTATAAATTTTCCAAATTTCTCTGTTTTTCAACTTTACATGTAAAATTCTTTGGAATCTGGCATTACCTCTATTAAAGCCTAACAAAACAAAAAGTTATAATAAATTTGGCTTTTTTATGGTGCAAAACCTCTTGAATCATCGTTTTTTGTGCCATGCGACCAAATTTTAAAATATAGTCAAATGTTTTTTAATTCATTCAAAAATGCAATCATCTTTTAAAAATCACGTAATACGTTTATACAATATTTCTAATGCGATAAATATGAAACTAAGCTCAGAAATAATCATCACATTTTAGTCAAATATTTTGAAAAATCTCTTTGTCACGATGAAATTTGGGTCCCAATCCGTGTTATCCTTTAAAGGATAGGGAGATCGGAGAGCGACCACCCTTTCAAATATCACGTGTAAAAATTAGGTTTTAGAGATGGTAACGATCCAGCCAAATCAGGTTAATATGTTTAACAGAACCGCAGTTTAAACTCCAGTTGAATTGTGTGGTTTGCGTATTTGTTACATTAAAATTTTTTTACTATTCCTCTATATCTGTATATTAGAATGCATGGTTATACCATATATAGCTTAGGCTTTCCATAATGTTTCAAGCTTTTCCATGGCTTGAAAAATAAGGTTTATGGGAAACTAGATTTTGTGCGCCATGTACACAAATGCATCCTACACGTAATATCCACTTTGTCACAAAAAGTAAACTTTTTTTAATAAATTTTAACCCTTAAAACTTTGTTGGTCGTAATGCATTTACAACGCTCTAATATTAATCATGCATGGGTTGGCCTTTCAAGTGATTTTGAAAGCAAAAGCGAATTTATGCCAACCACCACGTTTTTAGAGAACATTCATAAAGATAGTGATGTTACCGAGGAGAAGGAGGATGTATATGAGAAGCTAAATGTCGAATCCAACATAAAATACGATTATATATATGCATTTCCTAACTTGGAAAGTTATTATTAAGGGTAGATTGTACGTAATAAGAACGGTTGACGACGAAATACTTTTCAGGGCGGGATTATTCGTCAAACAGTTGTTAATTTCGTCACATTTGACGAAATTGACGAAATTGAGATTGACCAATTAAACCAACCAAATTTTCATAAGCAACGATCAAAGGTATGGCCAAATATTGATTTTATATATATCAGTCACCAAAAAAATGATTTAGATTTGGAACCCTTTATCTTATCATCATGATAAAAAAGTATCGAGAATAATCACCATGGTAAATACCCAACGTTACTCTACATATTGAATTTCTATATAAAATGTCATGTATAACACAATTAATAAAATTATTAAAATCCTAGGTTCTCAAAAAATGTACTTTGAGCATATGCGTAGATTTTGTTTGAATCTCAAAATTCAGTATGGTATGATCATAACGTTATAAATACCTTATACTAGCAATAACACATTGGTTTTGAGGTAGTGCCGTTGGTTTGACAGGCTATTGAATAGCAAAATATATTTTTTTGGCGGAGCAAATAAATTTTTTTAGGGTTAATTACCACTCTACTGATCAATTACACACACACACAATAAGATATACGTGTAAGCTCGTCAAGTCGGATGCAATAATCAATTGTTTAAAATAAATAAATGACCGACCTATTGAGTTTACATGTGTGTAGGGTTTGAAAAAAGGGCCCAAAAAATCAAATCGGTTGATATGGTAATTACATATGACAGCAATTTTCCCATCATTATCCTTGTCCAAAGTTGATGCATGATGTTAATATACTGGCTGAAATGTTTGCGCTATATAAAAACAATCAATATATGTATAGAAATCAATCATCCGTGATGTCACTAAAATTTATTATTTGGTGATCAGCAAGTATCAATTTCGTCAATTTCGTCAAAAGATCCTTGGCGATAAATATGAATTTCATCAACCATTCTTAGTACGTAAATACTATATATAATTTTTTGGCTAAACGATAGCTAAAAATATTAGTGTAGCATTATATAAATATCAGTGCAGAAAAATATTTTTTATTTGTAATATCATCATCTATTAAAGATGAGTGATAAGAGGACGAGAATTATGAGTCCAATAATTAACTAATGATATTAGCCTGTAGAAAACCCTTAGCCAATTAAAAACTTAAATAAATCCCAGTTGATGAAATTTTTTTTTCAGATGGTAATAAGCTTGCCGGTATTATATTGCTACTATTATTATTACTGTTTTTATTATAATATCCTGTCATTATTACTATTTAATGGTTCGAATAAGATTTATGAATAAACGAATAAAGCGAATAAAGCGAATAATAATAATATGAATTAAGATTGAATTGTATTAATATCAGTATTACAAATAATTCGAATAAGAATTTAGAAACTCTAACTATTACTTTTATCTTGCTACGAGTATTATGTTTTTTGTCATTCGAAGTAATGCAGATGGACCCATTTCAACTAAGTGTCTATGCCACTGAATTCTGTACTAAAATTTCAGACATAAGAATAAATATCAAGAGAAATTTTTTCTTAGCCGGCTAACATCACTATAATTAACATTAAACAATAAATGAAAATATTTAGTATAACATTGTCCTTTTCTTCCACGACTTCATTTAGCAAACAAACAGGCTATATTTTCCTGCTCTTTTTCATGTTCCTTATTTAAAAATAAATTACGACATTAATGTTTTAATTCACGATAATGTATTAATTATATTAATTATCTTCACAAAATTCCAAGTAAAATTACGGAAAGCTCCCACATTTTTGTTTAAATTTGATATAACTACCACAAAGAATAGGTAGAACAAATGGTATGTGTAGAGTAGATGGAGATATATTGTTATCTGGTTATTAACTTCTACTATCATCCCTCAACTCATCTGATTGATAGTAATGCTTTCAAAAAACTCTGTTTTTAAATTAGAACGTTTTTAATGCTCCCAATTCACACATAAATAAAGCTAATACCACTTCCTCGAGAACTCATTTGTAAAAAATTAAAAACAAGCAAAAATTTTTTTTTTGAGTTTCAATAATATGGTATGGTTATTATTTGCTTAGTATTTTATATGTTTTATATGCGATTCGCAAATTTTAAATAGCAATTTGCAAATGTCTTTAACTTTACAAGGTTGTTTTTTTGAAAGAACCATTTATTAGTTTTTTTAATTAATATAATTGGATAAATGTTATAATTAACGCGAATCTCGAAAGCTAATTGGTGGTTTTTTCTGTTTAGGTAATGATTTACGAAGACTAACTAAAATGTATTAACGTTTTCTTTTTGGATTTAATTCATATTATAGTGCTACGATCACCTTCGTCCTTTTTAAAGTACTTTCGAATCATAGTGTTGACGATCATATTCAATAGAGTTTTCCGGTCCTATGAAACTGGAAAAATAATTTTACCTAAAAATCAACATAGTTTATATGGTGAATAAATATTTTTCTCTGTTAGGACATCAGATTTGGGGAGTCTCACTGATTCATTTACGAATCGGTAATTAAGTATATTAAAGACAACCAACAAGGATTTAAGCTTAGAAAGGATAGACTAGAAAAATTTGAAAATGACATATGAGAACAAACTCTTGTGAAGGTACCAATAAAAAAAGAAGTGTAATCAATCCATCTAAATCACAAAGAACAAATTGTAATCGGCATTTAAATCTTTAGCGTCCTATCAAAAGTTATATAAATTGTCTCATATATATCACTACATTTTATAATGAACATTTTGGACACTTACTTGATCCCAAAAAAAGCATTTACCAAACTTATACTAAATGATATTGAATGGATGGACATTTAAAACTTCTTGCAATAGAATAGTGTATATTTAAATTCGTGTATATTGCATATAAACTGCATTTTTGTGCAGATGCGCAGAAAACAGGATCTTTTTTTTAATTGCTTATTTATTTTGATTAACTATAAATTCCATAGTTGTAAGAATATTCTCGAGAGCCCAAGCTACAAAAATTAATGTAGATTTATTTATTTTAATATATAAATAAAGTTTTAGGAAATGTTATCACGATTTTAAATGAATTTCAATTGAAAACTTTCATCCATACAAAAAATACATCAAAACTAAAATGAAAAATGGTATAGTGTTTGTTGTATAACTAATAAAAGATCATAAAATTATTTTAAGATTCAAGACAATCGAAATTTGCATTTTTATTGTTGCTCAAGCTACAGAAAGCTCGGAACGTGGATGCTACATAATAATAAACACATGTCAAACCTAAGCTATAATGGTATTTGTATGAACCATGTGAAACACGAATTAATTATAGTTTCAAAAACCCCATACATCAATTATTACGATTTTAAAATTGATTGTGAAAATTAATCAAACGTAGAAATGATTATATGACCTAATTAAGACAAAAAAGTGGAATGCGTATTAAATTGATTAGTAATTGAGATGACACTTTTGTTCGAGCCGTTTATGGAAGGTTGGGAAAATCGATAAGCAAGAAGTGGGTTAATGGGTGAATGGGTGAATGGTGAACGAACTTTGACGATATATGAAATCTTTGCCGAATATATTGAAATCATTGTGATTATGTAATTTTGTGATTCAAGACCGACTACCAGTGTATAGTAAACTTAATGGGCCCTGTAACGAATGCATATTTATTTAATGATTATGTAATAATATTATTAATATTTTCTAATTTTTAAAACATTATAAATGGTTTTGATTTTTGTTGGCCTTTGAATAAACTTATTAAAACAAAAACAATTAAATTATTGATTTATATGAAAAAATGGTTCTTTCAAATAATACAAAACAGAATTCGTCTGAAGTTTACAATAATGACACAGTAACGTATAATCAGGACAATATAGTTGTCAATAATGATGCTGATGTGGATGCGATGGGAACTGAGAATCATAGTACTAGTAATGAATCCACCGCAACGGAAGCAGTTATTCCACAAACAAATGCCATTCCAAACGTCACCGAGATTACAATAGTATGTCAACAACAAGATATTGTGCACGAAGTTTATATTAATCCTGTATGGATGATTAACGGCGTCAGAATGGAGTTATCAATCAATACCAACACTCCATCTTGTGAAGAAAATCAACTTGTCGATTATAATCTTCCTGTTAACTTTTAAGATAAACCCTTGGTTTCGTTATTTAATAAAACTAAAGATCTATTTAAATGATTCATGAACATACAGTAAAGTTAGAGATTACTGGTATGATAATATGAAAAGAAAAAAAAATTAAATTATAATGTTAACATAGAACTCATTGAGATCACAACATTTTTCTTCTTTTATAATTTAAACCAATTTTTTCATAATCGTGTAGTTAATTTTTAACATGTAAACAAATAATCAATTAAATATTGTCAAAAAAAATTTTTAATATTGAATATATTAATTAAATTCATTTAATATAATCTTTGTTACCTAATACTAATATTTAATAATTTTCCTTTCGTTATCTGTTTCTTATTTTTGTAATTAATTCATACTATCTTAAAAATTCTTCACAATAAAATAAATAAACAAAAGTTTTAAATTTAAAGATTATTATCATCTATATTAATAATTATTTATTAATTTATTGAATTAAGAATATTAATCAATATTTTTTCTTTTGTAACCTTTTGAGTAGAAACTCCAATTAAAAGATTGTGTTTTCATATATTGTCTAATCATTATTAATATATTGTAACAAAAGTTAGAAAACAATAATGCAAAAAAAAATTGTTGAAAAGTTCTCATAATAATAAATAACTTATAAAACCCTTTTTTGCTTTTAATTTCTTCCTTCCTCAATAACCCCATACAAACCATATATTTTTCTGAAAGCTCTCGATGTACTCTGTCTTATCATGCTAAAACGATCTCAATAGAGTTGATTTCCGAAAAGAATTAAGCTTCCAAAATCAAAAACCATAGGTTTCTTTGAGAGACTATTACTCCATAACTGGAAGAGCTAGAGGCGCATAAAGCTTGCATTTTAAAGTTCAAAGGCAAGTTATTGTTTTTACTTAGAGGCACGAAAATGGTTTAATAATGAGCTTACGTTCAATTCATTCGCCAAAGTCCGTTGTACAGAAAACGTGTCATGTCGATCATATATTAAAATCAGTGACGTCCGACTAATATTAATATTAATACACAATTTATGATAAATAATGTTACATGCGCTCTTTGCGCCCCTTCAATTTTACACACAGGCCGCGTGGATGCGGAGATTTCTATTTTAGTATTAGTATTAGATAATAGTAATTAAGGTTATAACTAATTCAAATTATTATCATTATCATAGTAATCTTTGAATTTCGATTTTTTTATAAATTATACAAATAAAGTTTAGTAGATCGCCTACTGATGTTTTTCTTTTATTCAAGTATTAGTATTAGTATTAGTGATGATAAGTTAAGCATATTTGTGTGTCCAGCTGAAATGAGGTTTGTTTTTTGTACAATCTACAAAAAAGGAAATACATTTATCATTGATTTTTTTTGTAAATTGACGACATTAATACCTAAATTTTCAAGTTTTCAAAAACGTCTAAACAAAATTTTTGAATACCTTGATATTAAAAAATAAACGAATAAAATAATCATTAAATATTTGCTACATAGCCATGACTCTTTCAGAAAACGTTATACAACTCATAAATCAATTAAATTTAACAGAACACGAGAAACAATTATTAGAAAATACACCTATTGATGTTAATGACACACAAATCGACCAATTTCTTTCAAAAGAAAAAATCTTCTTCAAAGAAAGTAGTCCAACAAAAAAAATGGCCAAATAAATTTCTTAAATTCCGTAAATATCATGCAATTTTTTTAAGAGAAACTCGCCCTGAAGAAAATTTCAATATAGAAGATATTTCAAAAGATGCAAAAATGCATGGAATGCATTAAAAAAATCCGATCCTACAAGAAAAGTAGAATTCTTTGAAAACTTGACAAGAAGAACCGGGAGATGATTAGTTTCAAAGAACTCGAAGATGACGATGAAAAAAAGTTGGAGTGGAGAGAAGTCCATTTTGACAACAAAAATGATTCTAATTTCATTTATATCAACAGAGACGGCAATGACAGCAACAACAACAGCAGCAGCAATAATAATATTATTACAACATTCGATACGACAATGTATAATGCATCAAATTATCAGGACGCTCAAAATACTTATCCTTATTCAAGCCAAGAAGTTGAATTGGTGGAACCTGGACAATTATCACTCAGTCAATTATTACACTTGTTTTGTAATCAAGAGATATTCAATATGGAAGATGATGAAATGTTTAATACTGGAGATTATTTGTATGGGACAATATTCAACACAAGTTCATCTCAAGTGAGCGATTGTGAAATCGATCCTAATACTTTTCTTCGTCAGTATTTTAATAATCAACACGGTAACTAACGTTTCGATTTTTTTTCTAGTTGATCTTTATTCAACGGACTGGGAAAATTTTTATTGTCGATCTTTTTTTATATGTGAAATTGGAATTGGAAATTTATAGTTTTATCAATTTTAATTAACAAAAAAAAATTTTTTTTAATGTACATATGTATTATTATTATATACATTATATTTATCGATTAATTGATATATTTCTTTCTTTTAAATTTATTACCGTTACTATTATTATTATTACTAAATTTTGATTGCCAGTACTAACGAAATGATTGCAAGTTACTAATAGTAAATGGTTATGGTAGCCCCAAGATACTGGCCTAGATCATATAACAATTTGAATATAATTTTTTCAGGTTATCCGAATAACGTCACTTTATTATCAAAATCATTATCACGTGATATATGGCTGTTGATCATCAAGCATATGTTACAAATTATTATCTGCGGATTTTTTAGTATCTTTATCATATATTTCAACACATTGTAAATGTTTACAACAAAATTCAACTAACAATATATTTTTTTGAAAACATGAATTATAAAAAGAAATTTCTATTAATTTATCAGTTACAATGTAAATTTTTATGGTAAAATTTAATAATAAATCGAATAACTTTAAACCATGATAACTTTTTTTTTACATAATAAAATTAAACAAAACTTTTTATAGTTTTATTGTTTAAGACTTCTACAATAAAGTTATAGAGAGCTTTTTTCCATATCTCGTTTTGTTATAAAGTTTTTTCTATTAGCAATCTTTTTTCAATTTCTTTAGAATATAAAAAAATTTATTTTTTATTTAGCAAAAAAAAAAACTCTTTGTAATCTAAAAGCTTAATCTATTTACTATAATTTCCCTTAGTTTCATGTCTGTATCTCTTTATTTGAAGGCTCTGATGCAATTTTTATTTATATAGTTTTTACATATATCCTTATTTTTTTAAAAAAAAGATTGTTATTGATCGGCATTATGTTACATCACCTGATTTTGATTTCTCACGCCCCAATCTTTCATGTGAATTACTGGTGTTGAACTAAAATTTTCATTGCTTAAACAACGAAGTTTGAATTTATTATAAAAATAACGAGATATTTTAAAAAGCTTCATATGACACGAATTTCAAATTTAAATTTACATATAGAAAATCAATTGATATTACTAATAAAACAATAATAATATGAAAAGGAAATAGAAAATTATAATAATTATTACTTTTGTTATTTATTTATTATTTGTAAAAATCTTAAAAACCGAAATTAAATTGTTTATCATCGACACCATGATAATAATAATAGCGAATATCATCATCAATATTATCTTGAGATGGACTTGAAACAATTGAACTTGCTGCTGCACCTTGTAAAATAAATTCAGCGTTGACGTTATTGCACATTTCAGATGGTTCACTATCTGGCTGTTGACACGTGACATTTTCTTGTGCCTCAGTATTATTATTGTCGTCATCAGCACTTAGTTGATGCTGATGCTCCATTGATCCTTCTGGAGATAATTCTTCAGTGTCTATTTCTTGGTTTGTGCTATCAGATGCTTTTTTGCTTGAAAGAGCCATTTTTTTTTGTATAAACCAATAATTTAATTGTTTTTAGTTTAAGGAATTTAAGAAATTTTTTCAAGGTCAAGAAAAAATCAATGGCTTTTATAATGTTTTGAGAAAAAAAAATTTACCTAATTAGTGTTTTAGCTTGATTTTTTTTTTTTTTTAAGCAACTTAGCAGACTGATAACGAATATAGATTGTTATTTTATAATATTACATGCTTTAATTTACTATAATAATAAGAATAAAGATCATTTTTCATACAAAAAATAATTTTCCTATTTTGAAATTTGTTTAATATAACACAGTAAAGAAGGCGTACTGCATGAATTTAAAATTCAATAGCGTGTTGGGGATTTGTTGATCTTTGTTTTATCAGAGTAATTAATCCAAAAAGGCAAACCTCAAAACACAGTAAATATAATTAATATGTATTTAATATTTGATATTTAATTAATTATACATTAAGATCACAAAACCGCCAAAAGCTTAATAACTTTTGGCCTATATTAAGCATAAATTTAAAGTTTGGAAAATCTGATTATACCATATTAATATAATTTAACTAAAAAAAACAATTAACTTTATTTAGAAAAAAAAAACTTTTTTTTTTAGGTTGACTAAAAAAAAATGAATTGACCATTTTGAATTAATTTTTAAAGTTTGAAATTTGTGCATTGTCCGATGATCATTTGAACCAAAAAAAAAGCAGTTATTTAATATTAAATAAAAATTTTCCTTCAAAAATATTAAATATATTACTACTATTTGTTTTTCTTCTTCGAATGTAATTAAGCCTTTTTTTACCAGTAATTAAACTATTAATAATATAAAATAAATAAATAACAATTTTATCCCTCACTTAAATAAAATAAACATGTATGAATACTTTGTGTGCTAAATATTTGAACTATAGCTCTACTAAACCCACACTATATCCATCTATTGATCACAATTGTGTTAATAATCTTTTTATGACAAGATATGGAAAATATGAAGATATTCTTAAAAATTTTATCTGTGTGACTCACTAGGTGCCTTTCATAAAATAACTATTATTTTTCTTTACTCTGTAAAATTATGAAAGAAACCATCCAATTAATCATTTTCAACATTTGTTTTTACTTTAAAAAGTAACTAAAATAAATAAATGAGCGATATCTTGTCTAATGTTTTTTTTCAAATGATAAGTATCTAGATGATAAAAAATTGAATCTTCGATCTTTGATTCGTTATTAATGTAAATAATGTTTTTGATGAATATTTTATTGGATTAAATAAATGTGTAACTAAAACATAAAATTATGAACTACTTGTCAATGATTTAATTAAATCGCTAAACAACTAATTGATTGAAAGATTTAGTCAATGTTAATATTTATTCAAATGCCCTTTAAATTTTTTTTTTAAATTTTAAAATGAATGTTTAGTCATTTGTGACACGTAGTGCAAATTAGCCGCACCAATCCTTGATATAAGGAGAAATGATGTAAATGTCCGATTAATTTTGATTTATATACGTCATATGAACAATTAAACTGTTCTTACGTAGTAAAATAATGAAATAAAGTTATATTTACACAGACTTTACTATATATAATCCACTGTATATTTATTTATTTACGTTAATATGAATGCCAGTTACATAAAATTTATATATAGTTCTCTCTTGAACCTCCCTCCCCTGCTTTTTATTATTCATTGCATCGGATTGGTTAAAAGAAATAAATATTGTTCGTGTCAATCAATTTATATGCATTCAACCCATGCGATAAAGGAATTTTGAATTGATTCATTTTTTATTATATTGCTTTTATTTTTCTATATTAAAATATTTTTATAATAAAATTCTAAAAAAATATTATGTGCAAAAAATTTGGTGTTTTAAGAGGTCCCGCATCATATTAAATAAAAAATTTTATTTTTGATGGCTTGGACATGGTTATTGATTCAATTAGTTAATTCAGTAAAAGTTTATATATATGTGTGTGTGTATGTATGTATGTATAAAAGATAAACAATTAAAAATAAAGATATTTCCAAAGTTTGATAATAAACTAGATTATCTATAAAAAAATCATCGGAAAAAAAGTAGGAATAATTTTTTGAACAAATTCAAAACATGTTGCATAAGGTATGCATACAGCGAGCACTCCGAATTTGTATACAATTATCTCTTAAACGGTCAGAGTATTCTTTTACAAATTAAAGTTTTGATCATTCTCAGTTAACGATCAGCAAAGTAAAAACAGTCAATCGACCAACTTTTATTCACATATCAATCAGCTGAATCTCAAAGATCATTTTCGTATTAGGAAGTGATACCTTTAGAAAACGGTTTTTATAACAGAAAAAAAATTTCGGCTATCAATAGCCGAAAAACCGTTTAAGGGATAATAAAATGTAATAGTAAATGATCATCATCGGAAAAAATAATATTATCAGTCGGACGACATTTCACAGTGACTGATTTTTAATATATGATCGACATGGCACGTTTTCTGTACAACGGACTTTGGCGAATGGATTGAACATAAACTCATTATTAAACAATTTTCGTGCCTCTAAGT